TGTGCACACATTGTACATATTGCTTCATAGCCCACTTTCAAAACTGAGGGACAGTACAGTGGAATCCCCATTTATGTGTGACCTAGTTGTCTCATCCGCCACAGTTCATTTTCCCTATATTTAGAATGGAGATAATAGTAACAATAACTCCCTAGAGATCACTGGGAGCATAAAAGTGATAAAGCATTTCAAACACAATTTGTCAAATACTTTCCATTTTATTACTCTTCATAACTATAATTTTTAATCATTGTGTAATATTTTGCTGAATTAAACATTTAAATATTACTTAAGTTGCTTCCAATTCTCCTTGATTACATACAGTCTTGTAGAAACAGACTAATACACACAGTCTTTTCCATGTTTAGGATTATGTCCCAGGATTATTGAACATAATACATGACTGAGGTATGGCTCTCCAATCACTGTTAAACTGGGCCCTTGAGGGAAAGATTTTGGATATAAAGACACCCTTTACTAGACCAACAGAAATGAGTCAATGAAAAATGTGTGCATGTGTGAGAATGTGTGTGTGTTGCTTGTGTGCACGGTGGGGCAGGTGGGAAGATGGATATAGAGAACAATTTCCAAAGTTGCTTTTCGGCTAGTAGAGGTTAAACTTGAAATTTGGGGAAACAAATTGTGATTTGAGCAGGTGAGAAAATAAAAATGGACAGAGACCTAGAGAAATTTTAAAGCAAGGCCAGAGAAGTTGCTGGAACATGAGTTGGCTGTCTCAGCTTCTCAAAGCAAAGCGGGGAATGAGGTCTTCTGAGACAGACTGCAGGGGACAGGTGGAGCTAGAGGATGGGAGAGGGAAAGGCTGGATGGTGGCAATAATGGAGGTAGAGCAGAGCTTCCGGACAGACATATAGCTAGGGCTGTCACTGTGATGTCATAACTGTCACTGCAATGTCCAGACTGTCACTATGTAGCAAGGGCTGTCACTGTCAAGTAATGCTGTCACTGTGAAGTCCGGGCTCACTGTCACAGTGTAGCCAGAGCTGTCACTGTGAAGTTTGGGCTCACTGTCACTGTGAAGTCAGGGCTCACTGTCTTCAGCTACTCTCTGTTTTCCATTGAGAACAAGGTTTTCTTCCTCTGTCTGCCAGCCCTGCTCTCACTGAGATCACCCTGGAGCTCTGCTTAGCTAAACCCAGTGATCCAACTCATGGTCTTCTACTCCCCCTATCATCTGACCCTCCCTTCTCCTTTTTAAAAAATATTTTTCAGTTGTTGATGTACCTTTATTTTATTTATTTGTATGGGGTGCTGAGAATTGAACCTAATGCCTCACACATGTTAGGCAAGAGCTCTACCACTGCGCTACAACCCAGCCCCCCTTCCTTCTCTTTGAGACACTTTGTTACATATATGGTTTCTAAAATACCAAACTTACCTCTTTTTTTTTTTTTTTTTTGGTACCAAGGATTGAAATCAGGAGCACTCCACCACTAGGCCACATCCCCAGCCCTATTTTATATTTTATTTAGAGGTAGATCTCACTGAGTTGCTTAGTGCTTCGCTGTTGCTGAGGCTGGCTTTGAACTCACGATCCTCCTGTGTTAGCTTCCCGAAACCTGGGATTACAGGTATGCACCACCACACTCTGTCTGGCTACTCCTCCTTAAGCCTCTTGCTGGTTTCTCCTCCCATCACTTAAATGTTGGTATGCCTCAGGGCCAAGCGCCCAGGCCACTTCTCTATGTACACATTCCCTGGGTAATCTCCTCCAATGCACTGCCTTTAAGGATCATCTACAGTTCTGATGATGCCCACATTTGTATAGCTGCTAAATCTTCCCAGAAGTCTAGGCTCAGAAATCCAATCACCTGTCTGATACTCCTTTTTAGAAGTCTAACAGGTAACTCAATTTTAACATGTCCAAAACTGAACTTAGGATACCATTCCCAAAAGTTCTGTCTTCCTCATCTCTTTAAACTGCCCAACACCAATCTTGACCAAGGTCACACACACTGCCTCTGGCCTGGCCTCAGTTTAAACTATCATTTCAAATTTAAATCATGGCAAGAGCTTCCTAACCAATCTCCAGTTGCTACCGTGGCCCACTTCAGTGTCCATCCTTGACACAGCAGCACACCAAATCCAAGTCAGTCAAATTACCTTTCTATCAAGAAACCTCTGCTGGCTTCTCATCTCACCCAGAACAAAGGCACCTTACTCACTTCCTCTGCCCTCCCTTTGCCTCTTTCACTTGGTTTACTTGCTTTGGACCACAATGGTGTCTCCGTGGGACCTGGAACATTCCAGATAATTGACTGCCTTGGGCCTTTGTACCTGCAGACCCAGCTCTACAGCTTGCTTCCTGACATCCTCTTGGTCTTTATATTCTCAGGGAGGGCTTCTCTGACCTCTCTATTAAAATTGCATCCCCTGTCCCTCGCAATTCCTATCACCATTCTCTGTTTTAGTTTTCCTCCTGGTGGTTATCACTATCTTATAGACCTTATGTTTCACTTATGTATCTTGATCATTGTCTGTTTCCCTCATTAGAATGTAAGCTCCCTAAAGGCAGGAATTTTGCCTGTTTTTCCTTAATGCTGCATCCCTAGGATATAAAATATTTTCTGGCACATAGAATATAATTATATATAATTCTTTTTCTTTCTCTCTTTTCTCTTTACTCCTTTTTTCTTTCTTTCTTTTAGGTATAAAAACAAATGTATGACCTGAGTGTAAAGATTTTGAAATGGGGCAGGAAAAGGTTTTGAAGGAAAATTGGGGAAAGTAAAATTAGAAGGTTAAAAATAAGTGGAAAGTGAAGATACACAACAACTTTTAGGGTGTAGTCTAAATACTAGTCATCGTTGTGTCCCCTGGTTCTACTCTGGTGGTTACCTGTGAAGATTAGATTTTAAAATTCATGGAATAGGAGAGTTACAAAAGATCTTTGAGAACACTCTCACTTTACAGACGAGGAAGTTTTTCTTCTAAGTCATGTTGGCAGGTTTTAAATTATTCATTGCAACAAAGACATGGTCCACTGAGCTCAGCTATGCTAGCATGTGACATGCACAATCCTGGAATGAGGAAGCTGGCAACCTGAGCAGGGACAAATCCTTTCATACACAAAACACCAAAACGGAACAAGGATCTTTCCTCCCAGTGTTTTTAAACAATAAGAATGTCCGTAGTTTTATTAGTCAAACACACATTCTAAGGATAAATGTCCTTTTCTGCTTATATTAACTGTTCCTAGCTATGTAACTGAAGACAATTCTACTGGTGGGAAAGAATTATTGATGGGTTCAGTTCATGGGAAAATAGGCAGCCTGTAGTTTTGCTAAATGTACAAATATCCAAACACAGAGCTAAAAAAAACAGCCAGAGATAAAATAGACTAGAGAATCTGTCCATCAAACTGGAAAACATTCTTTGCAAGCTATAAAGCCAAGCTTCAGACTTTTTAAAAAAAAATTTTTTAAGTTGTAGATTGACACAATACCTTTTTTTTTTTTTAATGTGCTGCTAAGAATCCAACCCAGTGCCTCAGATTTTCTAGGCAACTCCTCTACCACTGAACTACAACACCAGCGCCAAGCTTCAGACTTTTTAATCACCATAAATATCTTTGGCAGACAAGCAAATCTTCGGCCAACTAAAGAGTTAACAGAGTTAGCATCATTTATTTTATTTAAAAATTTACTTTTTAGGGACTGAGGATATAGTTCAGTGGTAGTGTACATGCTTAGCATATGTGAGACCCAGGTTTAATCCCCACCAACCTCTCCCCACATACAACTATTTTTCTCCAAAAGGAAGAATTATATCATAAATGTTAAAACATAGTTAATGTGTAATGATTCCAAAACTTAAATTCTTTACTCTGAGAACCATATCAGATATAATTTCAAAGGTGAAATTCTTTGAGAACTATATCAGACATAAGTCAGAGGATGAATATTTCTGTCCATTTTAGTTTATCAGTTTATTTCTAGAAACAAAATATCAAGACATTTGGCTGGGGAGAGTAACATAAACATGTTTTCTCTTAGATTTGCTTTTATGTATATTGTACTTAGGGGAATATTGAGAATCTATTCTGAGCACAGAGAACAATGGGAAAATAGGCAGCCTGTAGTTTTGCTAAATGTACAAAAATCCAAACACAGAGCTAAAAAACCATCTAGAGATAAAATAGACCAGAGAATCTGTCCATCAAACAATAAAAACGGGTTCTTCCCTTTTTTTAAAAAAATTAGGGACTCCAATTCATGTTTTATCATAAAATTTATCTGCAGTTAATTTTTTGTTAATTGTTTTAAGCTAAAGGGAACTAGAAAGCATTTTGGCTCTTACTTTTCAGTGAATGAGATAAGACGATGGATATTAAATAGTTATACTGAATAAATATTGTTATTAACTGAACCATGTGTAAAAACTTATATATTTAATTAATGATATGAGCTTCAGGTCTGAGGTAACTGAATGCAGGTGATTAATTTCTTTTTGTTTCTCATTAATTTGGAAAAACATATACAAATTTAAAACTAAACTTCCAAACATGAAGAGATTTCTGAACACAAAGATAGTTGATTCTGCTTTCCTATGTATTTTTCTTTCACTTTGATTTAAGTTCATTCTTTAATTTTTTTTTTTGCATATTCACACAGACAAGAATAAACAGGATGGGGAAAATAGGAAAATGCTTTCTGAACAATTGTATTAAAAATAAAATGTAAAAATGCTCATAAAATAAGATGAAAATATAACATGGAAATCAGAGTGTATGTTGTCTCTTAATTACTTTGGCAGAATAACATATTGCTTACTCTAAATTTTTATATTTTTTAAAGGGAAATACAAATGTATATACTTAGTAGGTCTAAATCCTCTAAATCCTCTCTCAGAACTCATATTCTATAATTCTATAAAACTCAAGACTGAAATTACTTTTTATTTTTTTATAAAGTAAGGAAAAGAGCTGTGATATTTCTTAACAGGCTACAAGTAAAAATTATGTAAAAATATTCACTTACCACAAGGCTGTCTTGATTTTCATGGAGCTCAGAAAGTTTTGAACTGGATTTTTGACGTTTAGGTTTGCTTCTTTCTCCAATATAATCAGAGGTGTTCTCATGTAATTTTTCTACTTCCTGAGCATTCAAGATACACTCATCGAGGCTGTTGAAGCCAGAAGGAATATTTTCTTTGTTGATAAGTCCCCTTGAATTGAAGAAAAAGCAGCTTAATTTTATTTTAAAGAGTAAAGGAAGTATTTTGTAATACTGCCACTGAATCATATACACCAGATGTCTGAAGAATACCCAGAAACTTCAGTTTGCATCTTTGATCAAAATCTCAGTAGAGAGCACTCCTAAGGCTTCCTGGTTCCCCAATCACATTAAAATAAGTTATTCCTACAGGCATTCCTAGTGGCAAGGGCTGTTTCTGCCACAACTTTTGTATTTACTAAAAGTAATTTGTATTTAAATAGGCAGAACAATGCAAGTTTTTAATAAAATTTCCCATTATTCATGGTAGGTGTTAATATATATAATTTTTAATATTATAAATTAATACAATGTATGGGGGAAAATCAAAAGGAAATACAATGTCCTCTCTAGAGTGGGAATATTTTATTTTTATTTTAGAATGGGAATATTGATGTTCTCAAATAATATACATTCTAGTAGAAGCAAAATATATTAATATTTAAATCTCACTGAATTAGATAATCCTGGTAGAAATCATATTTTAATAAAAACTGCTGGGCTTGGTGGCACAGGCCTGTAATCCTAGCGGCTCAGGAGGCTGAGGTGGGAGGATCACGAGTTGAAAGCCAGCCTTAGCAAAAGTGAGGCACTAAGCAACTCAGTGAGACCCTATCTCTAAATAAAATACAAAACAGGGCTGGGGATATGGCTCAGTGGCCTAGTGCCCCTGTGTTCAATCCCCAGTACCAAAATTAAATTTCTTAGAAATCCTTTTTTTTAAAAATTTTTGCAAATAAAAATGGAACAAATTAAACCATCAGCATAGCACCATGGCTTGGTAAGGAAGAAATGAATGAGATTTTATTCTCCCTCATAGAAAGACTGGGTTAATGTATCTAAAACTGTATCTTGAAATAAATTAATTAAAAAGTAAAAACAGATACCATATTTTACTGTCTTTTCAATCACATCTCAAAATGAAAGATAATATTAAATATTTATTCTGCAATCTAAATTCACATCCTTGGGCTATAATGGAGTCAAAATTATGAATTAAATACTATCATAATATTTTCAAAGTTATATTATCTTGGGTAATTTTTAGCCCTAATATTTAATTTGGTCTTATTTTTTACAAGTCATCTCTCCTCTTCCTCCTCTTTCTCCTCCTCCTCCTTTTCCTTCTTTTTCTTCTTATTTGATAGTAGGTAGATTGAAACCAGGGTGCTTTGTTACCAAGCAAAATCCCTAGTCCCTTTTATTTTTTATTTATACTGGGGATTGAACCCAGGGGTACTCAACCACTGAGCCACATCCTCAGCCCTTTTATTTTTTATTTCAAGGAAGGGTCTTATTAAGTTACTTAGGGCCTCACTAAGTTGCCGAGGTTGGCTTTGAACTTGAGATCCTCCTGCCTCAGCTTCCCAAGTTGTTGGGATTAGAGGCATGTGCCACCATGCCCAACTCCTTTTTAACGGGGTCTGAAGTTTCTGAGGGTCTCAAAAAGATGATGATGCTGGCCTCAAATTTATAATCCTGCCTCAGCCTCCATAGTTTCTGGGATTATAGGTGTGTATCACTGCAGCTGGTTTCTTTTCTACAATTCTTAATGTGGAAGTTATACATATTTGGCATAATTATGTAAAACATAATCTATGAGAATTACCTAAGCATAAACTAATCAAAGACAGAAAGCAAAGCTAGCAGGGACTAACGTGCAAGCTTACACACCTAAAGCTCACACTCCTCCTCTGCACAATGAGAGAGCACCTTTGGTATGAGTTTGGTCTTAAACTCAGAATCACTTGTTTACTACTTAAGTTCTGTCTTCTTATCACTCTTCATGTTTTTCCTAACTTCTGGGGTATGTGTCCAGTTATAATTTTTTCATAGTGGTCCTTTCACACTTGAAGGTTGTTATAATGGACTGCATTGTGTCCCCTCTCAATTCCTTTGTTGAGCTGACACCTATAATCCCAGTGACTTGGAAGGCTCCGGCAAGAGGAACACAAATTTGAGGGCATCCTTAGTAATTTAATGAGAATTCATTTCAAAATTTTAAAAAGGTTGGGTTAGGGCTGGGGAGACAGCTCAGAGGTAATGCACCCCTGGGTTCAGTTTCCAGTTCTACCAACAGAACAAAACAAAACAATTTTATGTCGAAGTCCTAATGCTCAATGTGACTGTGTTGGGAGACAAGGTTTTTCAGAAAGTAATTAATGTCAAATGATGGGGGACCCTAAGCTAATATGAATGCTGTCCTCACATGCACAAGAAAAGACACCAGGAAAGCAGGTTCACAGGGGAAATGCACGTGAGGATACAGTGAGAAGATGGCTATCTGCAAGCCAAGGAGAGAGTTCTTGCCAGAAACCAACCCTTCTGGTACCTTGATCTCGGTCTCCCAGGCTCCTGAACTGTGGGAAAGTCAATGTCCGTTGTATAAGCCACTCAATCTGTGTATTTTGTTACAGCAGTCCAAGTGGAGTAATATGAAAGCAAAAAAATTATTTTTAAAAATCAAATGAGAGTTTATTTTATAATCTTTTGGGACAGTGTCTGAAATAAATCCTTTCAAAATAAATACATGAAAATCTGATAGTGCAGTTGTGCTTATTGTGGAAATCCTGTTCTCCCCGAAGAAAAGTCTTTGTGTTCATGTGCATCAATGTGTGTCAGCCATTGTGCCCATGTGGAGCATGTATACACCATTTCTTAGATTTGATGTGAACTTAGATCTTTGGGCTTCTCATTTTCATCACCTAGGTTTCACTTCCAGTTTTTTTTTTCTTCAGGGTTTCCTCCTCACTCCTACATATATATGTAATATCCTGATACTACTAAACTATTTATTATCCTGCCCAATATAGCATGCTTTCTTTTTTACTTCACAGAATTTTAGATATACATTTAATTTATTTATAGCATTTGGATTGGTTTTCTATTTCAATGTGTTTTGGAAGATTTAAACCATCTTCATTCAATTGATGCTTTGCTTTTTTGAAAAAAAAATATTATTATAAATTTCTTCAAATATGCAAAGTAGAGGGATTATCACAAAAAACTTCCATTTACCCATCAACAAGATACTACAACATTTGTATTTACTTTGTAATGGCAGAATTTTTTAAATATATACTTTTTAGTTGTAGTTGGACACAATAGCTTTATTTTTACGTGGTGCTGAGGATCAAACCCAGTGCCTCACACATGCTAAATGAGCATTCTATCTCTGAGCCCGAGCCCCAGCCTCCAGAATTTTTAAATAAATAAATTAACTCAACCTTTATATATAACAAATATATTCCTTACAGTTTTATGTTTTTAGTGTAGCAAATAATATGAATCTGGTTATATTTCCTTATGAATTTAGACAAGAAGCAAATCATTTGCACCAAAATGATTTTCATTATATTTTATTTTGAAATATAATCGTCATTGGCTTCAAGGATACTTTTTAACTGGCTGAAGTTTGTGAGAGGTAAACTGAATTTCTATTTTTTTGAAATGGCTTTCAATCATTCCATAAGGCTAATAGTTTTGAATAGAAACTTACAAACTCTAGCTTAATCTTTCCTTATTTTTAAAAACAAAGCCTGATGAAAAGCTTAGATAAATGAATTCATTATGTGTAAACATATACCATGAATAACTCATTTACCATAAGCTATTTTTTTTGACATTACCATTTGTATATTAATGACTCTCCTGGGGTTACTCAAGGGGACCTTCACGGTGTCATTTCAAAGTCATGAAAGGAGGAATCTGAGACCAAAGTGGAAATGCTGGATGAATCAGCCAAGTGGAAAGGTATTAAAAGTAAAAAAGATGAATGAAAGCAAAGAATGGAGCTAAAGGGAAAAAGGTTCAGAACAAGAGCCTTGGGCCAAGGAAAGTGAGAGAAAGAATGAAGGAGAGGGAACAAGAGGAAAGGACTATGGGTCTGGGTCAAAGCTGGGTCAGGGGCTGGCATGGTGGCACATGCCACCAGTCCCAGAGATTTGTGAGGGTGAGGTGGGAGATGCAAGTTCAAGTGTAGCCTCAGCCACTTAGCAAGACACTGCATCAAATAAACAAATAAATAAATAAGGGCTCTGGGGAATAGTACCTGAGCTAAATCCCTAGTCCCTCTCATCCCCAATACACAAAGCTGGGTTGGGCAAAATTGTAGCTCTGGGTCATACAAATGAGCTTTGCTTCTTCAGGACCCGGGGAGCTGAAGGAAGGCACTGGAGGTGGGCTTGATGGTTAACTATTCACATTTGATATGACCTAGTGGGTTAGCTGGGATGGTTGGGTATTTCACGGTGACAAGGGTGATACAAATAAGGATCACTGGAAAGGGACTTCTGCATGCCTAGTCCATGGAAAAAGACTATGGTGGGACTGTTTGTAAGTTAGCTTGGTTATAGACAGTACCCCAATAGTATATAGATATCTATCCCCCAAGATTCTCTTATTCAGTGTTCAGTTGTGACTTAACCAGGACCAGGGACCAAAATGAGCAGTGGAGGAAAAACCAGAGAACAATTGAGGGTGGGGTTGGAGTTCTGTGGGCGTGGCCTGCAGATGATCAGCCTCTACCACTCTCCATCTCCTTTGGTTCTTCCAAGTTGCTAATTAAATACAATCCAGATAACTTCAGCAAAAAATGTCAGCCCATGGACTTGGGAAATTATATTTAAATTCAGACATATTTAAATGTCTCATATTTCTTGGCCCTGTCTGGCCCCTGCCCGTTTTTGACCTTATCCCCACTGTTCACCATCTGCTGCCACCAACCACCCACATCACCCTGTTCTTGCTATCTGCACACTACCACTTCCCACCCCTACTTGCTTTCCTTCTGTCCAAAGAGGGTGGAAAGCAAGATGTCATATACATCGAGGATATTTTAAAAATGCAAAGTGTTGCTACATACTATTCAGCAAAAAACAAGGCAGAGGGTAAGAAGAGTGGTAAATGAATAATTCATACTTGCTGTATAATAAAAGTAGGCAGAACACTAATTATATGCCTAACACTTTCTATAAAACTCAGTCAGTAGCCAATTTTAAATGCTATAGTTTTTCTATTTTCTAAGTGGAAAGTTACAAACACCCTTCCTATCCACCAGCTCTAAGACAAATGTTTTCTTTAAAAAAAAGTACAGTATAAGTAACTGGTAAAGTTAATGAGTTTTTATCATTAATAATGCTTTATTTCTGAGATTACATTTGTTAATATAGACCTTAGCATCTCAATGCTATACTGCATGGAATTTATTTATCTTTTTGGTTTTCTTTAAGCCAATAGACTTTTTTTTTTTTTTTACCTAACAAATATTTTGATGAAGACCATAATTCAGGTGAAAAAAAAAATGAGGGGAACTTAGGTTTTGTTTAGTTTTTGACTTTAGTAAGGAGTTCAAAACAGTAAGAGGCTACAGTGACTAAAAATAATCTTAGAACTTTCAGGGGGTATCTGAATATAAGTCTGTGCAAAATTATTTTTCTCGTGAATTTAAATTGTGAATATTAAATAATTTGAATGGTAGTTGTTCATCTGTATTTCATGAATCTTTTTAAAATTTTTTTCTCTTTATTTTTTAATTGAGCAGATTTACTAATGTGCTTATTAACAGAATTTCATGCATCTCACCAAAACAAACATGTAGAAATAGTGTTCTTCCCATTTGAGTGCTTATAGTAACCAAAATAGACTTTCGAATCATTTTTTTCTTATAGTAATTACCCTAAAAAATCATCAATGTAAGTGCTGTGAAAAAGTAAAATTTGAGAGAGAAAAAAACCTTTTTGCTTATTTACTATTAAAAGAAAGATTGATTCAAGTTGTTAAAAAACTGAAGGAAATAGTTCCTTAATTTTGCTCAGTCATGGAAATAACCCTGAATTTAGCATCTCAGTGATTATCTGCCCAGTTGTTTGGAAGGTGGGGTGAGTGAGAATCACCCTCTGTTGGTCAGGAGTTGACCAGCCTGGGAGATTATGCTGGGAATCTAGGTTGCCCTTTGTGTAACCAACAGAAGTGATCTGTCTTAAGGGTATGAAAGAAGACAGGACTTAGATAAAGCTTGGTAGAAGTGAAAGAAGGTTTCCTTGTTCCTGATCAATATAGTCCATTTTATGTGCCAAAAGTGCTCACCAATAGTTCACTCTTGGACATTCAAGAGTGCTCACAGCCAGCCATGGTGGTGCATGCGGTACTCTCAGCAGCTAGGGAGGCTGAAGCAGAAGAATGATGAGTTCAAAGCCAGTCTTTGCAACTTAGTGAGGCTCTAAGCAACTAGTGAGAACCTGTCTCAAAATAAAATATAAAAAGGGCTAGGGATGTGGCTCACTGGTTAAGCACCTCGGGGTTCAATCCCTGGTATCCAAACAAGAAGAAGAAAACCAGAGTGCTCATGCTAGGATCTCAAAGAACCCATGAGAAGTCTTCTTGGGATAGCATACTTTTTTTTTTTAAACCAGGAATTGAACCTTGGGATGCTCAACCACTGAGACATATCTTTTATGCTTTTTATTTTTATTTATATTTTATTTAGAGACAGGGTCTCACTGAGTTGCTTAGCACCTTGCTGTTGCTGAGGCTGGCTTTGGACTCACAATCCTCCTGCCTCAGCCTCCTGAGCCGTTGGGATTATAGGCGTGTGCCACTGCGCCTGGAGCTTATCACTTTTTTTTGTATAGTGAAGGCTTTGGAAATTGTGATCCTCATCCATCTTTTTAAAATGAGGTGATACTCAACTAAAGAAAATAAAATATATGGGACATTTTCTTAAGGTATATCCTAGTGCCCTAAGCCTTTGTTGTATTACTATTCTAAGAGTTCATCAGAATATTGACCCTTAATACCCTGAAGATTTTGGTTGAAGTGGTAGAAGATGAAACAAAAAGAGGACAAGAGTGGTCTTTCCTAGCAACAAAAATGGAGCTTTTTTGTAGCCATTTCTATCAGTCCTTCATAGGAAACGCTGGGAGATTTGACTTGAAATGATCTGTTCATTTGTCATCCTGAGGGTCATTTCTGTTCAGTCATCTTGACTCCTCCCTTTCTGCTTCTGGAGTCAACCCAGGTCCAGAAGTTCAATGGGCGACCTTATGGGCATCCTCCATCTTTTGGGGGTCAGGTCCCAGGTGACCCTGGCCACTGCCTGTGTGCTTTACCTCTGCTCTATATCAAATCCTTTAATGGAGATTAAAACTCCTTGTAATACCCTTCTGAAATGCGTACTGTGAGAATGCCTTAAAGTTAGTCATTAAAATTAGAAAGAAGTTCAGCTTTTTGTCTTTTGATTTGACTTAAACTCAATCTTTCTTACACTAAAGCATAACCAAGTGTCAGACTATTTCAGTGAGATTCTTGTATTAATCAGGTCAATATCCTGGTTCATCTTCTGGTTAATAAACTAGTCTAACAGTCAACTTAATGTTGACTAACGAGGAAATAAAAATGCCTCTGGACAGGCCTATGTCCAGTTTCTCCTCCCACAGCTCAGGATCTCTCTAAATAAGACATTCCAGAGGAAGATCTGAAAACGAATTAAATCAGAGGTGGTTTCCCACAACGCACAGAACATCTAGAAGAAACAAGTATTTATTCAGTCGCCTATGAATTTCTAAATGTGAACTAAGTTTAGAACAGTCAAAATGAAAACTTTGAAAGTGTTAACCTAAATACTGAAAAGGGAGAGAAGCGAGAGGAGTGACTGGAATATAGCAACTCATTCGGCTGTGTGTCTTTGAAAGAAGAAGAGAAAACTCAAGCAAAAAGAAGCATCAGGGTCAACTTACTTATCTCTACAACAACGAACTTCATCCTGCTCCTTGGATTGGCGTCTTCGCTGTCTGGCGGAGCTGGAAGAAGATGCTGAAGAGGTTCCAGATTCTGAGTCCTCTGAACTTTGACCTCCAGAGCCGTTAACATCAAAAAGATGCTGTTCCACAGCTGAACGGATGGTTCTCTCTAAGAGTCTGATTAAAAAAATATATAATTACAATCAGGCAATCAAGTTTATCATTGATTTCTTTTAAAAACACATGCCTGTACTTTTGGAAACATCTTTTTCCAATGGAAGGCCTTTCATGCTTCATGAATGAAGACAGAGTATGCATGACACTTGAATCAAACAATACTTGCAGCATGTACTTAAAACAAAATCAAACAATTTCCAGTACTTTAATAACTGTGTTTCTCATTTTTAGGATCTTGGATTATTGATATGCTCATGTACAGCAACAATTATAAGTTATTCAGGAAATAAGTATCATTTAATATAAGGCAGAATGAGGAAAGATTTTTTTTCCCTTGTAGAATAATTCTTTCGGATTTCATACCAGTCCTGCAGATGGCGATAATATGATTTATAAGGCAAACTGGCACAAATAATGTTAGGATACCTTTTATATATATTATATACTTAGAATCCTTTTAAGATAAAATTATACAGGGAACAACGATATTTGGAAAGAAAACAAACAAACAAACCCAGCTCATAAGAACAATTACAGCTCATAAGACATAATCTTTCCTAACCTCTAATTGGATAAATTATGCTGTATAAAATTGAAGCTGCATTCATACAAACACACTCCACAATATATTATTCAAGTTGGAAGGGTAGATTTACTTGTTTGACCTGGGAAAAACAGGTAAATACAAAAAGCTGAAAAGAATGCATGAGTAGATATAAATGGTTTTTATTTTTAAAGCTATAGAATCTTTCAATGTGTCTAAACATTCTTTTATAACCATGCTATTTAATTTTGAATAAGATGCCATGGAAAATTCTCAACTTATACTCCTTGAAGCATGTTTTTCTTCACTTACAAAAGAATCACACAGATGTTTTTTAAATGCTTAAACTTAGAAGAAACATTCTCTAAAATAAAATAGCATTTTGAGAATTTAAGATTTTCCAAATGTAGTTTTATAAAGGACTCATTTGTTTCATTCAACTTTTATTATGACTATTTTAAGACAGTGAGTAAGTAGAGTCTAAATTAATTTAGGCATTAAAACTATTTTACTTTATTTTATCTGTGTCCCCAATGACAGATTACCTAATGTGTTATGAAGGGATGTGAGTAAATTAATATGTACACACAGACCAATTTATAGTTTTCTAAACTGTATTAGACATTTAAGTAGGAAAGGATTTTAGGAAACAAAAAGAGCAAAAACATGTCAATCTTGGTATAGTTTTGGGATCTCTTTTAAAATTGATAGACCTGAGGGAAGTCAATCCTGCCCTTTGCTTGCTTCTTCACCCAACAAGGAGGAGCATAAATCCAGATCCATCCCGTTAGGCCCCGATTCATTTTAATTAATGCTTCTTCTAATTCTTCTCTCCTTCCCTATTATATCGCATCCTTCCCACCTACCACACCTGATCCTTGCCAAGGAGGGACACTTCAAGAAGGCCTGCACGTGTCCCAGCAAGGAAAGAAGAGAATCCGGGTCCAGTGGCCCATGCCTGTAATCCCTGTGGCTTGGGAGGCTGAGGCAGGAGGATTTTGACTTCAAAGCCAGCTTCAGGAACTTAACTAAGCAACTCAGTGAGACCTAGTCTCTAAATAAAATATAAAAAAGGGCTGGGGATATAGCTCAATAATTAAGTACCCCTTGATTTAATTTCCAGTTAAAAAAAAAAAAGAAAGAGGAGGGTGTGTGTGTGTGAGAGAGAGAGAGAGAGAGAGAGAGAGGTGTGAGGGGAAAGGTCTTTGGGCCAGGAGCCTTTCATTCAGTCATTTGACAAACACTGCATTGGGTCCTAATAAATGTCACACACTATTCTTGGTGTTAGGGAGTTTGCAATGAACACAACAGGCAAGGTCTTATGTTGATGGAGCTTAAATTCTCATAAGGCAAGAGAGATAACAAATACAACAATGTAATGTCAAATAGTGGAAAATTCTCTAAACCAAAGGTTGAAGAGTGAGGACCAGTAACCAGGGATTCCCAGATGAAATGACATTTGCACAAAAAGTGAATGATAAGACTGTGCTGGCCAGAGAGAGAAACAGCCAGTGCAGAGACTCTGAGCCAGACATAAGCTGGCCTACTCCAGCAACAGGTTGGGTGGCTGAAGCATACAGAACAGTGTGGTCAGAGGGACCCCAGGGCCAAAACCTGGAGTTAGGATTTAATCAAAGTGAAGTGGAAGCCCTTGAAGGAAACAGACATCCTCGGAAATCAGGAGTGAAGCACCACCTCTTTCCTGAGGAGAAAGACTTGCTGCCATCACTAATTTGCTTCATTTTTTTTTTCATCCCTGTAAAAAAGGACTATAAAATTCTTGCAGTCACAGCCCAAGGTTTACAGACATTACACATCTAACTCTGCGCTTGGCATATTCCATACACTCAGTATATGGAGGCACAATAAAATGAATGTAGGAAGTAAACACATGGTTAATATTTCAACCTTTAACTACATTCTCCATGGCAAGATGCCCCCAGAGCACCTAGGCTCCTTTGCAAATATTAATTGACCCTGACATTATTTTTCACAAAGTTAAACAAAAAGTTGGTGGTCTGAAATGGTGGCATTCTCTAGTCGCACACAGGACCTTACGCAGGAAGCACCGTGGTCCTCTCCTCTGCATTCAGGTGGCTTAAGAATCATCATATATGAATATACCACAGTGAATTCCACCTTTATGTACATCTATAGAGCACCAATTAAAAACAAATAAACAGAAGGAAGACCAGTAGAGGAAGGGGTCCGGGGGAGGGAGGAAGGAAAGGAAAAGGAAAGTTCTGGGAATGAAATGGAGGAAATATTCCATGCATGTGTGATTATGTCCAAATGAACCCTACTGTATCACTATAATGCACCAATAAAAAACAAGCGGTACAAAAACCACTGGTTGACTATCATTTTCATAGTTCAATACTGTACAATTTTGAATTGCTTTTTTTTCTGTTTAATAAATGGGAATGGGTAGTTAAAAAAACAACAACAACAACAAAAAAAAACAAACCCAAACACAAAAACTCAACCCAAATAACTTACTCTCCAGTTGTTGAAACACTGCTGACTTGGGACACATGAGCACTGTGGAGAGAAAGCAAAGAGAGAAGTCAGGTTAGATGAGGGATCACAGACGGTAAGCCAAGTATCTGAAGGGGATCCCAGGCTGGAAGAATCGGCCAGGTTCTGAGCGACCCTTGCACTGTGTTTAACCCTCCCTTGCCAGGTGCTCATTTTCTTGCATTTCTAGAAATAGAGAGGGCCCCAGTTGTCTCTTCCTCAACAGTGGCCTCTCGCCTTTTCAGACATGTCCACAGCAACAGTTTCATAACAGGTCTTGGAAAATGATCTTTTCACTCTCCCCCTATTTCCAAAGTCCTGGTTTAGGGGCTTTTCATTTTCCTAAAATGTTAATGAAATTGTTACCTACTGCCTTCCTGAGACCTATCCCACAGATCTCCTGCTCTCCCAGGCCAAATCCATCTCCTCCTGGTCCCCAGGCCGGCAGATAGAAGCATCCATCACCTCAAACTCTGTAAGGTTCATCTTAACAGATGATTTACAACCTTTTTTTGTTGAGCATTTATAAACTTTCTCTTCTCATTTTTCCAAAGATTGAATATTTTCAAAAGAATTAAGAAGTGGCCAGCATAAAGCAGAGAATAATAGAATTATTCAATACAATTGACAGCTTCAGAACTTTCTCCCTCACACAGGCCACATGCACATACCCACAACGAGGCCTGTGGCCATTTTAAAGGTATTCATACCATGAGTTTCTTCCATTCTGCCCTATCTAGTGCTTCCAAATAAAAAACTGTGATTTTTAAAAAGAGGTTAAACAAGAAGGCGGAAAACAAAACAAAACAAAAACCCCACAAGATGTTAGTTATGTTGAATGTCAATTTACCTAGCAGTTCTCTCCCTTTTTCTTCCTTCCATCAAAGCCATTAATGGTCAACATTGATAATTTTCTTTCAGCTACTCCTAATACCCTAATTTACACTGTATAATTTTCAACATATGAACATGTTGCTTTTTCAACATATGAACATGTTGCTTTCGAATCATCTGTTAGTTTTTTCTCCCCTGTAAGTGTATAGCCTGTCTCTTTCAATTCAGAATCAAAGTGCCTCAAGGGATTATGATATTTTTGCTTTCCTTTCATCATACTCCCTAGCATGGCCACCACCTCACAGCAGGTACAGGACTCATTATCCCAGCGGTGATCAGCAAACACACATTGGCCACACAGAATTTTCTTTTGTTAAAACTGCAGCTCTTTGTTATGGTCGACGATAGGAAAACCATGAAAACAAGCTACTGTGCAAAAGAACACTGATGTGAAGAATCATAAAGTAAACATGTAAAAAAAATAAATAAAATGCCCTAAAACTTACTGAATACTTACTATGCTTCAGACTCTGTGCTAAGTTCTTTTTACACAGATTTCCTCAGGGTTTACAACAGCTCTATGAGGTAGGTGTTATTGTTTTCTTTGTTATCAAAGAAGTTCAAGAGATTGAGTAAGTTGGCCATAGAGCCAAGAAATAGATGAGCTACAATTTGAACCCAGTAAGTTTTAGCTCAGCTCTTTAGCTCTTAATCACTACACTACACTACACTGTCTTTTAATCCATTACTCACTAGGGAAAAAACTCACTGGAGTCATCTTTGTGAAGACATGGAGATAGTATTTTATTTTGCTTTTAATCACAATCATTTCTCCTCTGCTTCATGATGGCTGTTATTCAGAATGGTTCCCAGGCTACATAACCAACAGTAAATCCTTTGCTGCTCTCTGTCCTCAGCTGGAACAGGCAGTGCCTGCTTTTGATGTTTTGTGGTTCACCCTCTGTAAATCCAACCCTGTATAATTAACTCTTATACTCCACTTCTCACTACAGTTACACAATCTTGGTTTTGGGAGCAGGGACCAATGTTAATAACGACTCAGGGGGAAACCTAGAAGAGGAGAAGGAATGTAGATTTGCCAGATGCTAAAAAACATTCCAAAGACAAGTTGTTAGCCAGTTAGCCCCCCCAAGCCATCCCAGAATGAAGAGATGTACTTCTCCTCCCTTTCACACATTTTTAAAAATCTTTTTCTTTTTTTATTGATTTTAAAAAAACAAGGCAGCAGAATGCTTTACAATTCTTATTACACATATAAACCACAATTTTCATATCTCTGTGCATAAAGCATGTTGACACCCAATTCGTCACACATTTTTTTAAAGATTTTTTTTGTAGTTGTAGATGGACAGAATGCCTTTATTTTATTTGTTTATTTTTATGTGGTGCTGAGAATTGAACCTAGTGCCTCACGCATGCTAGGCAAGTGCTCTGCTACTGAGCTACAGCCCCAGCCACCTTTTCACACATTTTTGACTTGTGCTTCTTTCCACATGTATATGTGTGTGTGTGTGTGGATACTGTATGTGTCTCTATATATGTAAGACCCGTGCATATATGTGCCTATGTATAGTATAAACACATATACATATATTTTGCCTTTATATACATATATATCTATATGTCAGAGGGATATAAAAAACATATAAAAATGTTTATATGTGTGTACATGTATACATGCATACACACACACACACACACACACACACACACACATTTGAGTTGCTGGGGATCAAACTCAGGGCCTCACATATGCTGGCCAAGTACTCTGTCTACCAATGGGCCACATTCCCAGCCAGATTCTGCATTTTTAATAAATTCCAGTGATCCTGCTGTTGTGGGTTTTGTAGAAGACACCTTGAATAGCAAGACTTATATCCTTGAAAGTAAAATTCTTTAAAACTTCAATTACTTAGGTATCATATGGCTATTTTAAAACTTTCTAAGTGTTAAAAGTATGATATGAAAAATTCATGCTAGCAGTAGTGAATAAAGTCAACACATTAAAATTTCCTTTACAGCTTAAAAGAAAAATGATCTGAGCAATCTATATCAATCATAAGAAGTCTTTCTCAAAATACAAAAGTAAATAAGTAAATCAATAATAAAACCAAATAATTAAATCATATTCATTTTTTCTAGCACATTTATTTTAGGTCAGATGTATAATTAATTTATATTTTTATGTTTTTAAATAGTACTTAAAATATAAATTGATGTTTTTAATAGTATTTTGGTATTTCCAGTTTATGTATTTCATTTTTCTTTTTTTAGAAATTAAGAGAAGAGAATACTTTCCATTGGGAATCAGAAAAAGTTTTGGTCTTGGCTCTGCAGTTAATTGGCTGAAATCATAGGCAGGTTGTTGGTTAGCCTGGCTGCTTTGGGTTGGTTTCTTCATACAGAGAATGAAAGGCCTGGCTAGGGAATCTCTGTGGTTTTTGTTTAGCTCTAAAAGTTTCTAACACTATCTCAAATTCAAGTTTATTGTCCTAAAGTTTAGATCATTACGAAAGGCTAAACTGCATATTTAGTTTTATGACCATATTAGTCAAATTTATGGCTTTGGAGATGCCAAAATGACTTTGGTCAGGTATCCAACCACCTCCGTAATTCCTGTGGGATATGTTTTATAACAATTCACCAACAACAAGATTTCTAAGAAAATTTAACGACAGCAATAAGGATAAAGATTTCTTCCATAGCTAGAGTTGCCTCATGAAGAAAACTCCAAGACACAAACAAAAAAAGCAAAAGCATTTAAATTATAAGCTCAAGTGAAGGTTGCCTTCCTCCATGTGTAGCTTGTTTTTTATCCTCTGTGCGCAATAAGAATACATTTTTCAGAACCTTTGACTGACTTGCTAAGAAAATTTCTTTCTTACTCATTATAAACATGGATATGGAAGGGCTCATTTCCTAATGTTGATAAAGCAAGTATCAAAAATTGAAAGTAGTAAGTTCATATGTAAACCCCAGCGTTATGGCCAATTTCATTACCCAGGCCTACTGTTACTGATGAAGCAACTGAATACTGTTTTGGTATGATCATTTAAAATAGTCTAGGCTGACTCTGAAATATGTTCCAGGATATAAATATCTTCAGTCTTTATTTCTATTAGCAAAACTCAACCTCCAATTCCTTAAACCAATTTCGCTTAGTAACACTGGTCTCTCAAATCTGCATGTGGTAAAATGCACAGATGCCTGTTGGCGAGTGATTCCTTAAATAGATCTCTTGATTTGAAATGGAGAAACATACACACAAAAGGAAATAAGTTTCAAATATACAAAAACAAGATATCTTGAAAAGGCATGTATTCTGTGTATCCTCTTCTATGGCCTGTAAAATCTGCCTACAAATACTGCTGTTTTAATAGAAACCAATAGGGTCTAATGGAATCATTTCTCACTAATATAACATTTATGCTTACTTGAGTAAGAATTGAGAAGACAATTATTTGGGATTTGTTTAAATAAGCAAACATAAGTTACATCAAAATAACATGAAACTCTTAATTTCCTAGATTTAACAACAACAACAAAAAAATCAGTATTCTTAGTATCATCTTAAAATACTGAAAGTTGATAGACAGTGTCAACATTGTAGAGGACTGTAAAATTTATTTGTAACTGTATAATGACTTTCAAAATTTTTTCATGATTTTAGTTCATTTAGATTTTTATACATTAAAACAAACAGACTTAATGTTAAATATTTATTTATTCCTTTTGCTTTAACATTTAGCTATGATTATCATGCAGAAAGTTAACGGAAAGTTATAGTGTTTCAACTTGGATAATATTAACCACCTTTTGTGAAATATTTTTGAATTTTATTTAAATTTTTAAAAAAAAACTTTTGATACTGGGGTTGAGCCCAGGAGCACTTTGCCACTGAGCTACATTACCAATCTTCTTTCTGGTTTTTTATTCTTGAAACAGTTTTGCTAAGTTGCCAAGGTTGGCCTTGAATTTGTGATCCTCCCCTCTCAGCCTCTAAAGTACCGGGTACACTTTGGTTTTAAATTATATACTATATATACATAATATGCCAGAACATAAATTGAAAACATACTACACAGATATGACTTCAAGAAGAAGATATTCTTATACTTTCACTAACTTTACACTTACAATTCTAATTATTAATAGTATTCCCTTTTTCC